GTGTGTGCGCGTGTGCGTGTGCGTGTGCGTGTGCGTGTGCGTGTGCGTGTGCGTGTGTGTGTGTGTGTGTGTGTGTGTGTGTGTGTGTGTGTGTGTAGTGCCCAATGAGACTATAAGAGGTTCATAACACTGGTCCTCTGAAAGAGCAGTACAAGCTCTTAACCACTGAGCCATCTCTCTAGCCCCTATAAATATTTTTGGGATGAGATGTGATGTTTTGATACATGTGGACATTATAGAATAATTAAATAATGCTAATTAACATGTCTGTCACTTCCTATCCTTGGATACGTGGTATAACCATTTAAAATCGCTGATCAGTTTTGATGTACATATTTGTTCTGCATAGTCCAGAGAACTATCTATGATAGCTCTGCTTTTGGTTTGTTTGTTTTTGTTGTTTTTCGGGACAGTGTTTCTCTTTGGAACAGCCCTGGCTCTCCTGGAGCATGCTTTATAGACCAGGCTGGCCTCGAACTCACAGAGATCCACCTGCCTCTGCCTCCCAAGTGCTGGGGTTAAAGGGGTGCACCACCACCTCCTGGCTGGCTTTGGCTTTTAAATGAGTGAGTTTATTAAGCATGTAGCAAGCGAAAGTAGAAGAATAAATAGCACGTGGCACATAGAGAGAAACACAAGGTATGTAATAGCACATCATTAGACCAGACACCACGACACCCTGCAGAGACAATTGGACTAGCCTGATTGAGAGAGCAAAGGCAACACCATTAAACCGAGAGTTAACAGCATCCCGCAGAAACTGCCTAGGGAACCCACATTGAGGCAGTCTACTGGAGTTCCCGATTGAGAGAGACACACATGGAGCAGGTCGTCTCCTAGGGTGAGATTTCCAAGTTAACCAAAACCAAATCCAAATAACAGCAGATAGATAACATCCAATTGGGGGCTTACAAACATGCAGCAGAAACCTGGAGTTCATGATTGAGTCTTCTCTGCATGGATGAGCTTCTTAAGGCTGAGCGCCAGCCTCTTGTTCCGGCTGCAGCTATTTTACATTCTGGGATAAACGATAATAATAAGATTGGAAATCGTTTACTTTCTAGCTGTCTTCAAGGGCACAATGTTTTTAATGCCCTTAGCTGCTTGCTGATTCCTCCCCACCCCCCACCCCCACCCCCACCAAGCCCCGGACAGAGCCAAGGGGCCACCTGAACCAGGACAGACAGTTTTAGAAGCTACTTGACAATGACCTGCTTGGTCTGAAGGCGAGGCAGCTGCTGAGTTCAAACAGCACACGGTAACTGGATGATATAATGCACTTTACAATATGGCGTTGTTGTTAACTTGGAGTAAACAGCATCCTCTTGGTTAGCAGTGACCTGCAGCTTGCAGACAGATCCTGCCCATCATCGTTTTTAAACTGAAATTTCCCTGGGACACAATTGCGCTTGTTCAGTGATGGGTTCTGCCGCTTTCATGGTACCATGGCCTTAGCCAAGCCATGGAAATAGACCATCTGACCCCATGAAGTCTAAAGTAACTCCTTTGCAGACCTTTCCAGAGCAGAGCTGGTGACCCTTGCGCCACTAAGGGCTCCTCGTCCCTCAGTTTAACTGTATGGAAGCAGTTGTATGAACTTTTAGTTTCCATCTCCTCTGGTCATGCAAACTGAAGTTTGCTTATTTCATCTGGATTTAACACCATCAAAAAATGTTGTATGCAAGACCAGACCCCATGGCCCATGGAAACTGGCAGATGAGGTTGGGAAGAACTGGGTGTGTGTTGTGGATCTGGACTGCCTGCCTCCTACCAAATGAGCTACATCCCAGCTCTAGAAACTGTTTTAAATGGAAAATCAAGAAGCCTTGGAAACCGGGCAGTGGTGGCGCACGCCTTTAATCCCAGCACTCGGGAGGCAGAGCCAGGTGGATCTCTGTGAGTTCGAGGCTAGCCTGGGCTACCAAGTGAGTTCCAGGAAAGGCGCAAAGCTAAACAGAGAAACCCTGTCTCAAAAAACAAAAACAAAAAATAAAAAACAAAAAAAAAAAGAATTTGGTTCTCAGCACCCACATCAGTTGGC